TTTGGACTGCCCCATCAGAGTTAAATTTTTTCCCTTGCAAGAAGTTGTCCAAATTTCGAAAAAAATGGTAATCTGTTGGAGCAAGGTCCGGGGAGTACGGAGGATGTCTTAGACATTCCAATTGAAGCTCTTCTAATTTGGTAGCCGTCTGTTGTGCAGTGTGTGGTCTAGCGTTGTCGTGAAGTAGCAGTGGCGTGGAGCGATTGACCAGCCTAGGTTGTTTTTCCGCTAGCTTTTCCATCATGGTTTGCAATTGCTGACAATAGACATCAGCCGTAATAGTCTGGCCAGATTTGAGAAAACTGCAATGAACATTACCGGCACTAGTCCACCAAACGCTTACAAGTAACTTTTTGGGGTTAATTTTCGTCTGGGGCAGGATTTGGCTGGCTGGCCAGGATCCAACCATTGCGCTGAGCGCTTCCGATTATCGTAAAGAATACATTTTTCATCACAGGTAATGATTCGGTTTAAAATACCTTCATTATTGTATCGGTTCAGGAATGTAACGCAGCAGTCGACGCGCGTTTGCCGGTTTGCTTCAGTCAGTTCGTGAGGTACCCATCTTTCAAGCTTTTTAATCTTCCCAATTTGCTTCAAGTGAATTAAAACAGTTTTATCACTAACACCGTAGCCTGCAGCTAACTCGGACGTGGTTTGCGATGTATCCGCTTCCACAATAGCCTTCAATACTTCATTATCAACTTGGGTCTCAGGCCGTCCACGGGGCTTGTTCTGCAGGTCGAAATTTCCAGAACGAAAACGTTGGAACCAAAAACTGTGTTTTCTTTTGCAACATGACCGCCATACACATAATTCACCCTTCGAGTCGTTTCCGCAGCACTAGTGCCACGGCGGAACTCGTACTCGTAAATAATGCGATACTTTAAGTTTTCCATTTTGTAAAATGAGTGACGCAAACAGAAAAAACCAAATGAATGACGGTCATCGAAGCACAAATACATGAGTAAATAGCTGTACAAATTTGAATTTGGAATTCCTTACCAAAGAGGAGAACATCGTGATTAAAGTGGCCAGTACGAAATACGCCAATTTCATATGTAAGGACCTAATATTAAAGCTTTTTTTATTTCTGTGACCATACCTTTTTTAAAATATAGTACAACACAAACCCAAAAAATCCGGCAGTCCTTTTAACTCTCTCCGCTTATTTCTATCCCGGGTTATTGTATATATCTGCCATCAATAAATAAATAATATATACCTATAAAGCTAAACTATTAATGACATAGATACGGCATATGTTCCCAATGCCCTTTTGACTTACCCAAACTAAATTACGCGTCACGCTGTTGTCCGCTATGAACTCCTAAACTACTTAACCGCTTTCAATCAAATTTTCACACCGTGTGCAGTTTGATCTAACTTAAAAGATAGGATAGCTTATATCTTAATTTATACCTGCAATATTATTTTATTGCAAATTATTTGTTTATTATTTGACAGTCACAATTCTCACATATGGCGCTGTGTTTAAAGTACAACATTTCACATAAGCTACAATTTAATGGCATAACCACCAAAAAAACATGGTGGTCCCCATGACTGGTGTTCTCCTGCTGTCTCCGTCAAATAGTTTACTACTATGTAATATAACAAAAAACATAGCCACAGCAACGCTTGGCCGAGTCTGCTAGTGTAATATAAAATTGTTACATAGGTACGTTTTGCTAATGTAATGAGGTAAAAGTAACACCGTCTAATTACACTTAAAACCCAAAAAGTATGCTCATTGATAAAATTAACACTACTGTCGACTTATCCATGTTGATGATTTACAAATTAACTGCCCTGTGACATGCAAATAGGCCATTTCAGCTATTCCCATCCAATCTCGGATTTTATGCTCTGACGCACGAATAACGTCTAAGTAGTCTGATATGTATGAGAAAATTGTAAGGAAAGGCTTATATAAGAATGTCTTATAAGGATTAAAAAATGAAATGAATGAATAACTATAAAAAATATTTGACAAAATACTAAAAACAATATAAATAATATTGTTTATTAAATTATTAATAAACAATTTTATTCATATTATTTTTAGCATAACAATCAAATAAATTATTTATTACTTATTATAAGACGTGGGCTGGAGATTTGTTACCATGGTAACCATGATCACAAACACCTTAAAATTCCATTTATAACAAAGTCGGTCTGTTCAATAGAAAAATCTATCTATTATTTGTTTATTTTTTACTGAAAATTAAGTATCTAGTCGAGGAAAAACCGTTCAGTTACTAGTTGTAGTTATTATTATTTGGCTTGCTTATAGTTAATTTACCAAAGACACAAGCACTGCCACATATTAGCAAGACAGCTATTCGAAGAAGAATTTTCACATTTTATAAGTATTTTTCGTTTCGTGTTATTACAAATATTTTATTCATGTATGTTTATTTGACGAAAATACCTCATTGATTATTATTATTTATTTTATTAATAATATTTATTGTGATCTGTGGTCAATCAGTGAACTTATATACATATTTTATAGAAATTTTGCATTGAAGCGCATGAAAAGTTTAATAAAATAGGATTTTTTCAGGTTTTTTATTCACATATGTATTTCACATGGTATGGCGAAGGCCGTGACTAAATTGCTGTTCATAACCATTTCGCTTGGCATTTTTTTACGCCATTGTGCATATAAATACGATAGTTGTCAATCGGTTGCTGGGTCACTTAGTTACCTTGAAACAACTACAAGGTATAATGTATCTAGCTAATGCGTCAGATTGCATGGCTTCATTACCTTCCGATCAGAATTACGTAAGGTCTAGATACACTAGTGCAAGCTGTAAGACATCTAAAGGTCATTAGTATTTTTGCTATTCATATGTACCTACTACCTCATTAAAATAAAACTATTATTATATTATAGTTTTAGATAATACAAAAAGCGTACTATGTTGTTAATGAAGTATCTACTTACCTCTTCTCTAATGTAATTGTTATTAAAATAGTTTGTTAAATTAAGGATAAATGTAACACAATACAATGATAAAAACCCTACAATATTCGGTACAAAAAGTATTTAAAGAAATATATTTTGGGATTCATACCTATTCTTATTATATTTTTAAAATACCATAAATATTACGTAACATGTTACAGATTACATTCTATTTACCTCATACAGTGTGCTCTTTCACGTCTACTTCAAACGTACGAAATTAATTTAATCATTGAGTTTCGGAGTTTACTGGCCTGAGTTAATTTAATATTTGTGTTTTCTGTATTGTTTTGGCCTAATCTCAAATGTAATACTAACAATACTGTCGTTACTGCTGCTCAATTTAAAATGAATTGCTTTAATAAATATAATATCTGCCTATCATAAATCTTATTAATGACTGACTATAAATATATAACTGCCAGGCCTTCGCGGATAAGACATATCTTATAATTGTAATGGTGAACGATTGTATTTGAGGAAATGATTTGGCCACAAATACAATATTATACAACACTAGCTGACCGGGCAAACGTCGTTTTGCCATGTATATCATTTATAATAAAAAATAGGGGTTGATCGTAGAGGGGTGAAAATTAGGGGCTGTATGTATTTTTTAATGCTGTATCAGCTGTTTAATGCTGTGTATAAAAAAATAAAAACAAAAAAAATATCTAAAAATTAAAACAAAATAATTTAGGGGTGGACTACCCTTAACATTTAGGGGGATGAAAAATATATGTTGTCCGATTCTCAGACATACCCAATATGCACACGAAATTTCATGAGAATCGGTCAAGCCGTTTCGGAGGAGTTTAACTACAAACACCGCGACACAAGAATTGTTTGACATATATATTAGATTAAGGATGCTAATCTATATTACATACTTTGTAAGTAGTAGCCTAGTTCTCAAACGTGCTCTCCAACCTAAGGTATTGCATTTGTCGATTGTCCATTGGTTTAGTATGAATAACCTTCTACTTAATGCAAAAAAGACAAAATGCATTAAATTTTGTGCAAAAAATGCAAGGGTTATGGATACTAGACCAATTATAAACGGTGAGGAATTGAATCTGCATGATACAACTGTATTTCTCGGAATCACCATGGATTCAAAACTTCAGTGGTCCCCTCATATTAACGGATTGGCGAAGAGACTTAGTTCTGCAGCCTACGCGGTTAAAAAAATTCGCTCACTAACTGATGTCGATACAGCTAGACTTGTTTATTTTAGTTACTTTCATAGCTTAATGACTTATGGCTTATTATTATGGGGTCATGCTGCTGATGTCGAAACTATTTTCATCCTGCAGAAGAGGGCTATTCGTGCAATCTATAATTTAAAATGTAGGGAATCTCTTAGAGATAAATTCAAGGAAATTAATATACTTACCTTTCCCTCGCAATATATTTATGAAAATATTATGTATGTATACAAAAATAGTGATAAGTTTACTAGAATAGAACATACGCACAATGTTAATACACGGAACAAACGCAGGCTGCAATTTCCCCGTACTAGACTATCTAAAGTTAGTAATTCTTTTTTGGGGAAAGGGATACTCTTCTTTAATAAAATCCCAGAGGCTCTTTTATCACTGCCTTTCAATAAATTTAAGAAATGTATTAAAGAAAAGCTGTGTAAAAAGGCTTACTATAAAGTCAACGATTATCTAGTTGATAAAAGGGCCTGGGACTAGTGCTAGACAGGCTACTTCTAATCAATTTGCGATATTTGTTTTAAATAAGTGTTGTTTGATGATTTGCTGTTTTAAAAGAGTACCGAGAGTTTTTTACGCCGGCTTTTTCTCTCGGCCTACACCCTCTGTCTTCTTTGCCGATGAGTAGGGATGCCTTCAAATTTAATGACGTGGAATAAGTGATACATGTATCTTATGTTCCATAATAAACATATTTTATTTTTGAACCCCAGCTGTACGCTTACACGTTTTTAAAATTTAATATTTTTATGTATATTAAATAAACTAATATTAATATTGTAAACAGGTTGTCAAGTATGGACACGAGGGATGATGATGAGCCACCACCAGACCCGGCGGCCAGAAAATCTCTCCATCATGACTACACTGAACAGGACTTTGAAGGTGTGTAACATTGATAAGCGATTCTCCAGACAACCCGATATAATTGGAACCTATTTTTATTTAATACTTTGATAAAGAGAAATATACCGTCGTTTCAAGACTGAGAATTGTATTTAGAAGTTTTTTGTGTAATTTCCCTTATGACTCTCTTCCGGCTTACCATGTTTTTTTCTATAAGTAAAAACATCATGTACTCCATAGATAATGTTAAAAAATAAGAAGATCTTTGAAGCGTAAAAGCTAATAAATTAGATTTGTTTTTACTTTCATTTTAGACGATTTTCAGACATTTTCAAGTTGTCCTGCTCGCTTTGAATTAGTGAAATGGAAGTAGGTCGAAGGGTGAACGAGGGTGCTACGACATACCAAGTAGGTCCAATGTTTGCGTAGGATTGTATTTTCAAGTAATCGTACCAAATTCGTTTTTTTTTTATATACTAGAAGAAGAAATTTAGAGTCGCGTAAACCAACATTGGCCAATATATTTACAGAAATATATATAAATGTGTGTTATAATGAAAATATATTATAATACGAATTTTATTTAAGATCAGATTAATATTTATGTTTAAGTGTAAATATTAGTCTGATACGGAATACGGCTGTAAGCGTAGGATTATATTTTTAATTGTACTAAATTTCTTGACCTCACTTTTTATAAGTTAGGTTGAATTAAGAATGTTTAACGAGTCGGGTAAATCAGGTTTAGATTAGATTCAATTAATAATTATTTTAAGAAATTATCTAAATATAGTTGAATAGAAAAAAATATATTTGTTTACCTAACCTAACCTAACATTTGGTACACCCGGAAGAGCAACTCTTAAGGTACAAATAAAATCAATATTATTTTTTTATAATATTGAAATTAAATTTGATACATATAGTCGGAATATATATTTTGGTTTATTTGATAAATCGAGTATCGCATAGTTTTTATAAAACCGCGTGAACCAATCAAAGCGCTTCAATACGTGAATGTTCCCAAATCGGATTGATTGGAAATATGTTAAAAAGGTGTTATAAATATAAAATTAAAAATTGAAACCTTCCTGTAAAATAAACACTTGGTGATTATAAAAAGGATGGCGGGGCGTTTCTTACCACTTCTCATCCGGTATAAGCCCCCTTCGAAACTGGTAGTAAACGTAAATTAATGCCTTCCAATTTTTTTCTAATTTTCATAAGTGTACAGTTACAATATGAAAAAGTAAATATTTCTGACGCAGGTAATAAAAATCTGTCCTTGAAAAGCCTGAACAGATTTTAATAAGAGATCACGTCAATGTCTAAGAAAAATCACATTATAATGGACCCATTCGTTTATAAGGTACGATGCCACAGATAGGGGTTTTTACGTTGGGAGTTAACAAAGTCGTAAATCGGTATAAAACAGTTGTTTTATTATGTTACTATTACTTTTGAATATGAAAAAGGTGACTGAACTACGAATCAGTAGTAAAATGAAGAACCTTTTGTACGTTACAAACAGTTGCCTATTCAAATACAGCGTTTTCCAACAAAACCTCCGTTTAGACTGAGATTTTCTTTACTTAACTTTCGAGGTAGTATTGCGTCCACTATTAAAAGAAAGAAAGAAAAAATATTTGGTCATACAAAACGTAATTTCGGTCGTAAAAAACATATATTTCTAAATTGTATTATATTCGGCCAATAGTCGCTGAGTTATTGTTGAGGAATTCTTAAGAAGATATTGAAGGTTTGGAAAGGTATGTATAATATTGTCTGCATTTATTTGATTGTAACATAAATTATTAAAAACTTCTACCTGTTTAACATCTCCACCTAGGTAGGTAGGTACAAGCCTACATCCTAATTATTGTTTTACTGCATACTAAAGACATTCCCTTCGGAATGAATTTTATGAGCTAACATAAAGATTTCAGATTACCTACGACTAAGAGAGCAAAGGTTAATTGTTTAGAGAAAGACTTAATTTTGCTTCCGTTTCATTGGTCTTCTTCTTTGAGATATTTCACTTGGAATTGAACCAAGGATCTCCGAGTCGGTAACCAGTTAGCCACAGAGATGGTCAGAGAGTATTACACGTACCTAATAAAACTAAAATTCCAGATGCTTTTAGCATTTAACAAGATTTTGAATCAAAATTTTCAAGTACCAAAACCTTTGACATTAACTGGTCTCTGGAGCGATATTTGCTTCACAAAATTCCCCGTGCATATGACGGTGATACATATCTAAAACTCTTCTTGGTTGTATAAAATGTTTACATACATTTGGGGACGTTTAAAAATCGATATAAAGTAATACAATATTTTATCTATTTTACTTAAATTTTAACAAGTTTTTGTGGATTTGATTTATTCAAATTATTTTCTAACTCATTACTGACGATATTTACTTATTAATTATACATAAGTGGTAACATTAAAAATAACGTTCGAGTCAGATCACATTGTCTCAAATAAATTTTTTAGCGTAATGGTCGTAGGAAAAATGTTCTTGTATAAATCTCATAAATTTAACACAGCAGTGACACGACACTATTGTAACGCTGCTTTAAGTTGTGTAAAAATATTCATAGTGAGGCAATAATACTTAACTGTATATATATATATGTAATAGCTTTTCAAATAACAGCTCGGTTAAAACGAACCTTCGTACCCACAATTTTAATATTGTTGCGTTGCATGAACAACAACACATCATTAGTAATTTGTTCGACGTCCTGGTGAACATAAAAGCTATATAGAGTTTATGTTTCCACTACATATAACATATAAAAATGTCTATAGAATGGTAATAATAACACTTTTATGAATCTCATACAAATTAAGTGGAACAAAAAAAGCTACTTGTAATGCGAAAACATACGAATACGCATACGAAAGCTCATAGTAGGAAAACGATTATAAAGAATGCAAGTCGTATAAAACTATCTACAGATAAGTAGCAGTTAAGAGCTATGGAAAGTTCGGTCAGGTGCAGATTATATAAAATAGTGTGATAGACCCACCTTGAGAGGTTTAGCGAAGCCGTATCAGATAAGGTCAGGTTTACACGATTTATGGCGGAAAGAGGCTTTGAAGGAAAACGGATTAAATGTAAAGTTACTATAAAATTATAAATATGTTCTAATTTTAAATATATCTATCTATTATTAGGCAAATCACTTACGTAACTGTAATTCATTGTGATTCTCAGTAGCCAGTTGGGATTTCCAATAGCAGCTATTAATAAAATAATTTAAGATTATCATGAACTATTGACATGTTTTTTTAATATTGAGCGCTTTGATGAATAGGTTATGAAAACACTAGAATTTTATAGAACATATATGTGTTACTAAAACTAGGGAAACCAGTTTTAGGCTCATCCTTTTATAAGACTTCTTAAATGTACTCAAAAAAATAGGAGCCATTTTGTAAAAAAAACTAACAGAACTAAGTATTAAAGTTATCGTAGTTGTGGTAAATTTACATAAATTTGCCAATACAAACGAAAATTAAAACAAATCGACGTGAAGTAACTATGATAAAAGTACAAAGAAACTTTCTTCTATATATTATTGATCTTGCATATTATTTTATATTCGCAATCAATACTCGTACGGTGAAAGAAAATATTTCGAATTTATTATATAATAAATTATAAATTTTGCACCTAGAAGAAGGTCAATTGGAAAAAAAAATTTAGATAAGGCAAGGGAAAAATGAACGGATACAGACACGCTTGTTTTTTATGTATTCTATAGAATCTGCTTTTCCGCGACTTTAAAATGCCATAACACCGTATTGTTTTTCGAAAAGCATTCACAGCTATTATAAGCAATTTTGAGCGCTACGTTTCGTAGCACTTAGTACGTCGTAGCCTTCTACGAGTAGCTTTTATATCGTCACGTAGACCAATCGATATTCAGTCAACTAGAAAATAAAGCTAAAGCTATGTGTTTTTTATTATCTCGCTTAGTAATAATAAAGATATTTCATTTCTTTATATTAAAAATCGTAGTTTTATTTATTACTTTAACACCATAAGCGGTAACCTCGTAATTCGGTTTGTAATTAAGGGCATTTTAATACAATATTTTACGCATACGTCCCCGTTTAATACCCTATAGAGACAAAACCTTATCACAGCTGGGGTATAGAGAAGAGGATCCGAGCTTACTGTTTTATAAATATCACAGAAACAAATCATTAATATTTTAAAAAGCGTCAAATTAAACTTTAATTCAACTTCAGGCAGTCCAATGTCAAACGGTAACTGAAATATCTTTTTTCCTTCTCTATCTCTGGGATACCATGCTAAGACATCTTTCATCCATTTTGTTTTTTAGGAAATAAATAAAAAAGACATCATAAGACTATAGCAAAGTGACAAAAGACTTACATAGTATAGGGTAGAGACGCGATACGACACATCACTGAATATAATATGCTTAGCAGCTAAATCAATAAATTAATTACAGCTTCTACTTAAGTAAGCATATGATCACTGTCAATAATCAACGTACCTAACACAATATAATTAGGCAATTTTAGTTAATTGAGTCGAGTTGCATTTGTAACATACTCGTAATTACTACTACTGTACATTTTGTTATTATACATTAAATGAAATAATTCGATTATTTGTGACTTTTATACTAAAGAACTTCTCTGGGAATATATGGGTCAAACTCATGGGCTAGTTCAGGTTGAGGATTGTTTAAAAATAATACTTTTTTATGCTGATATATATTTTGATATATTATTCACAAATATTCCTTCATTTACGTTTGCTAAATATGGAATTATTTAGTTACTAATTTGTTGAAAAAAAAAAGAAAGTTTTAAAATGTCCCCTTCTGTGGACTGTTCGTGAACGCGGTAAGCACATTTTGACAAATTCTGTTCTTAATTAACAAGTGTTATCTCATAACAAATATTAATTATCGATAATATGTATACTGAATGTTTAAATGTTACCAAGTTATTAAATATATATCTACCTAAACCTACACAATTAGCAATAAA